TTGAGGCTACAGTGAGCCATAATCGTGCCACTGCACTCTAGCCTGGACAACAGACTGAGACCATGTCTCAAAAAAAAAAAAAAAAATCCCTTCAGCCACCCATAAGCAAATGTGCTTTGGGGGTCAGAAGCATTCATATATTTAAACGCCTAAGTCACTCTTAGTCCTGCAACATGTTCCTGATGGGCTGAGGGGCCAGCAGATCCCATCCCCCAGGGTGTCATTGCATGGAATACATGAAGAACCCCCTGAATCATTGCCACTGCCATTTCTCTGGCTCTGTCGTTTTTATGGTTTTCACTGGTCCACAGCTTTTTATCAGAAACCCTTGGGTCCAGGACGTTTTGAAGTTGTGTATTTTTTTTTAAAGGGGAGTTAGAAAAGTTATCTAGGGATATGGTGTTTATTATTAAACTCTCCCTCCCCCAACAGGATGTGGGGCAGACTCTGTCATCAAATACATTTATATTCATGTAATTAATATTCACAAATGTAAGGTATAAATACTCCCAAGGAGTGAGATAAATACAGACTAAAATTATCTCGTGTCACTTCAAGTCACCAGATGAGTTCTGTTCAGGTCAGATTTAGCCCTGGACATTACACACATGCTCACACACATGCACGTACGGCTGGTTTTCCGAGCTTTTGGATCTGGAAATTGCAGAGCAGAGGCTATGCAGCATGGCCGTGCCTACCGTGATTCCTCAGGTGCCAGGCCCAGGCCCTGCCTGACCCATGGGTTGTGTGGACAAGAGGCCATTGTGCTCAGGGTGCCAGGGACCACAGGCTCCTGAGAGTGAGGGGCTCAGAGCTTCCCCAGCTGTCACCTTCACACCTGGCCACTTGCCCCTAGATCTGCTGGACCCTGAAACACACTCCTCGCCTTGCTGGCTGGTTGTGGGTGCCATGGTGTCACAGCCCCTGGAGACAAACTCCCCACCCCCACCAACCTTTGTCCTCTCCAGAGAGCATGGGCACCTTATCTGCATTTACGCCCAGGTGGCTCCCAATCTTCTTAGACTCCAAGGTGCTGGGTATGGCAGGAGCCAGAGATGGAGCCCAAGCCCACCCTGGTTTTACAGATGAGGGAACTGAGACCTAGAGAGAGTGAGTGAGTTACCTAGACTCCCACAGTGGGTCAGTCTGGCACTGTACTGGGTGATGCCTGGCAGGGAGAGGGGTGCTGGAGGCATGTTTAAAAATCAGGGACTGGAAGAGCCTCTTAGCCTCAGAGAAGACATCTGAAGCGGCCTCCCAGCCACAGCGAGCGCCTCCCGCCCCCATCCCAGTGAGGTGGGAGAGGTTCCCAGGTGCAGGCGGAGGAAAGGGGTCATGCAACCACATCCTTGCCTCCCGCCGCGAGTGTATCCTGAGTCCCCAGGTTTGCTCAGCCGCAGCAGGGCCAGCCCCGGCGGCTGGAAGGCGGCGGCTGGGCCCGGAGTGGGTGTGGGCGTCCCCGGCCTCCCCCCGCCCCCGCAGGCGCCCCCCACCTCCCCCAGCAGGCGCCCCGGTCCCTGTGTGGGCTGCTTTGACTCAGCGCCGGGAGCCGAGCTTAGGCAAACCACGCCGCACTGGACGCCATTCAAGCTTTTACAGGCCCTCAAATTGGGGCTGGAGCCGGAGAGGAAATACTAAAATCCTGTGTACACAACTTCTGTCTGGGCGCGCCGGGGCTCTGGGAGAATCAGGCGCGGCGAGGGACACATTTGGACTGTTCAAGGGCTCCTTTCCCCTGCTCTGCTTTTAACAGGCATCACGATGTGTCGCCTGAAACCAACACTCCTGGGTGTGGGCGCCAGGAGGGTCTGCAGAGTGTGTGAGCTGAGGCGCAACGGAAGGAACTAAGCTTTTCTCCTGCCCCGCACGTGCCAGGCACACATGCGTCCAAAGTTGGGTTCAGAAATCCCTGTGGTCCATAAACCGCACATTCTGCAGGGCCCAGGCCCCTTCCCCTGCAGAAAGATGCAGCTCTCGGATCCTGGATCCTGAGATCCTGGGCTTGAGAGTTAGGCAGGCCTGGGTGGAATCCCGGCTCCCCACTTGGCAGCACTGTGACTGTGGGGAAGGGCCTCTATTTCCTCATCTGTAAAATGGGCTTGATCATGGTAAGTTACCTTGGAGGTTAAAGACATGATGTAGGTGGGGAACTAGCTCAGAGCCTGGCACATAGTAGGTGCTCACTAAATGGTAGCTGTTAATATTTATATGGATTAATAGTGATAGCATCCTGTTGAGCCTGGCACATGCTAAGTGCTGCCTACAAATCAACTCATTTAATCCTCACAGCAGCCCCATGAGGTAATACTTTAACCCCATTTTAAGGGCAGAAACTAGGTCAATTGATTGACCTACCCAAGGTCACAAAGCTGGTGACTGGCTGGCCAGTCAACTGAACAAATGAACAGTTGAACCCAGGCCATCATTTTCATCATGCAGGTGATTTGCCACACTCTGAACTGTAACAGAGGAACTGGTGGCCAGAGCTGCTGGTGAGCTGTGTGTCCATGCCATCCTCAGCCTGGCACCGGCCTCCCACACCTGGGCCTCATCCCACTTTCCCAGTTCCAGCCCTGCCAAGTGCCCTCAAGCACTTCCCACCTTGGCCCACCAAGTGTCTGAGCTGCCCCCTCCTACCTCTCTGCCTTGGCTCAGCCTTTCCCCCACTCCCAAGCTCGCTGGCTGCCTGCCTGTGCATCAGGCCACTCGCTGGCCACCCCTCCGGTGAGGCTGGCTCCTCTGAGCTGCAACTCTTCCACCCAAAACCAGTGCCTTCAGCCTCCCTTCTTTTTGACTTGGGCCATGCTGGTCTGTGATGTGTTTGTTTCCCTCATTCTGGTCCTTCGTCAAACCCTACAGATCTGAGGCCAGACGTAGTGGCTCATGCCTGTAATCCCAGTACTTTGGGAGGCCAAAGAGGGTGGATCACCTGAGGTCAGGAGTTCAAGACCATCCTGGCCAACATGGTGAAACCCTGTCTCTACTAAAAATGCAAAAATTAGCCAGGCATGGTGGCACACACCTGTAATCCCAGCTACTCAGGAGGCTGAAGCATGAGAATTGCTTGAACTGGGAGGCAGAGGTTGCAGTGAGCCAAGATCATGCCACTGCACTCCAGCCTGGGCAACAGAGCAAGCCTCCATCTCAAAACACAAAAACAAAAAAGCCCAAAACCCTACAGGTCTGGTCTAGTCTTTTGTGCAGAGCAGGGTCTCCCATTTGTGGAAATGAATTTTCACTGGTGGTAAATATTGGGTGACTGGGGACATTATCCTCACTGGTGACTTGTGCGAAGGAAAAAGAGAAGCCCCAGACAGTTTGTATAAGGAGGCAGGAGACAATGTGGGCATCACCCGGTGTTCCTGACATCTGCTGCCAAGCATGTGGGGGTGTGACTCCCCTGCCCACCCTTCCCCCTACAATCCCCTTAATTGTTCTGTCATCAGGGCCTCCCAGGACCCCATGCTGTCTCAGGTAACGGCAGAGACCTTGCAGGCATGTGAGCTCCTGGCTGGGCTGCCTTATACCAGCAGCCTGCAAAGGTTTCCGTTCTGGGATCAGAGGGGCTCCAGGCCTGCCCATGAGCCGCATGACGCCAACCTCAGCATGGGCCATGCCAGGCCTGAGACCACATAGTGGATCTCCCAGACCTCTGCTGGGCAGCTAGAGTTGTCATCCTGCTTCCCCCAAACAACCCAAACCCCCAGTGCCCACACCCAAGAGGCATGACAATTTCGTGGAAATAACATGGCCCTTGGAATCCAGAGATCTGGGTGTGGGTCCTGATACTGCAGTTCCATGAGGTCTTGGGCAAATCACTTAACCTTCCTGTGAGCCTCAGTTTCCCCATGGCAGTGATCATGTATATTTTACTTTGGGATTGAGAGACAGGAGAGGTATGAGAGCACCTGGCACACTGTGGGAGCGGAAGTGTTGGTTTAAGTGGGAGTCACAGTTGTGGTGGGGAGCTAGACTTGAGGGGTGACAGGATGACCCAGTGAGCTGGCCCAGCAGTAAGAAGGGAAGAGTTGATGATGGAAAGGCTGGCGTCCCCTGGTCTGGCCTCTGCAGGACTCGTAGTTGACTCTCCCCACCCCTTAGAGTGGGGGGTGTTCCTGGCCCCAAACACTTCACACCTTTGAAGCTTGGGGGAGGGATGCATGTACTGATGAAGGCTGCTGGGAGTCTGGAGTGCCATGTGGGATACCCCAGACATCTGGCAGAGCTGCAGTGGTGCCCTATGGGTGCAGACTGGTATGGGACCACACGTGAGCCACCCCAGGGGCTTCCAGAAGGGCATGGTGCCAAGGCAGCTGAGGATCTGTGAGTAAGGATCCTAAGGGGGCCAGAGAACCCAGGGGCATGTTACTTGTGTCTAAAAATTGGCAGATCGAGGGTCAGGGCATCTGGACTGCTCCAGTGAACAGGAGAGAATGCACACTGGCCACCACGTGCTGCTGGTACTGTACCCCCGGGAGAGCTGGTGGACTTGGAGCAGAAACAGTCTGCATGGCGTGGCAGCGCCCTCTGCTGGCCAGGCTGGGCTGGCATCCGCGGTACCGGAGAAGGGGGATCCTCACACCCGGCATGAACAGCGCCTCCACTTCAAGCAGCCAGGGCTCAGGAGCAGGAGGGACCCTGGTAGGTGGGAAACTCATTCCCTTTTCCAAATAAGAAAACAGGCTAGGAGGAGTGCAGAAAGTTGCTCAGGGTCCCACAGCTATTAAATGGCGGAGCCAGACCCATCCTGCAATGCCCTTCCTTCTACCCCAGACCGAATCATTTTATGCAAAATGTAACAGGACTCAGGGATGCTGGAAACAGTACCCTTCTTTATTTTATTAAAATCAAATTAGATCTGACTCCGCCTCTGGCTGGGCTGCAGAAAACTTCATTCTGACTTGCTTTTAGAGGTGGGAGTGGGTGCTGCTCCTCCCTAGGCCTGTGCAAGAGCCAGGGAGTCTAAAGTGATGCCAGAAAATGGGTGTGAGGGGGTAGTGTTTAAACGTTAAGTGCGTCAGGGCCACTGTGAGAGCTTCGTGTCCAAGCCTCAGGGGGGCTGAGCTGCCTCCTTGCCCAGTTTGGCAGCCTGGTGCCTGAGGCCATGCCACTCACTCCCCTGAGGTCCCCTACAGCTTGGCCATGCCACCTGAGGTCCTGCCCCCCCACCCCCACCTCAGCAGGCACTGCTGCTCCCAGCCATGGAGTTCTCTCAAAACCTTCCTCAAACCTTTTCCTCCCCTCCCCAACCCCCAGCCTAACAGCCTTCAGTTGCTCCAGATTCCAGAAAATAAAAGCAGGAAAGGTTGGCTGAACAGGGAAGGAAAATATGTCAAAAACAAAAGACAAATGATCATCTCAGGAAAAGTTCCTGGCCCTCTAAACTCTGTGCGGGGTAGCCACACGTGCCCGTGGCAAAGCGCTGTGTCCTTGGAGAGCCCTGCATGCTGCAACTGAAACCAACAAGACACGGCTCAGACAGGGAGCAGGTTAGTTGACTCCATTTGCAGAAACTTGAGGCAAGGGGTTGGATGTGAGGAATGTGGCATGCCACTCCCCACCTGAAGCGGTGAAAGTTAAAAGGAGGTTATAGAAAATTGGGGAAGGGGCTAAATGCCCAGGAGCCCGGATGCAAAGCCAATCCTATCTGAGAAGAATGAACTTGGGGCCACTTGTTGTCATCACAGCTATAAAAAGGGCCTGGCAGGTCCAACTGTGGCCCTCTGGACTCTGCAGCAGCCAGATCTGCAGTCTTCAGTTTTGAATCTCTAACCAGGAGATTTGGTTAGATATCTAAATTAGAGACCTAGTTATCCTTAGCTGTTGTGTTCAGTCCTCAAATCTTGTTATTCTGTTTATAAATAGGGCAAAATAAGAAGTGACCTTTAATTTTCTTTAATGAGCTATTAACTCAACTTGAGGACACTAAGCTCCCCCCGACCCCCCCAAAAAAGCACTCGTGGCAATAAAACTGTCAGCCCAGTGTCACCCGTTACCCAAGGGTGGCACCCTTGTCCTGCTGGAGATGGCGCACCTGCTGCTTCGAGAGCCCTTTTCTAACCTGGGAAAGCTTGAGTTTAAACATGAAGATAGTGAAATAAGGTAAGCCTTTAGAAGCAAAACTTTCATGCTAAGTTTAGGAGTAATCTGTGTATGTTTGTTTCTTTAAAATACTGTAACAGTCTAAAGAATCTAACATTAAAGACCGACAGATTGGCCTGTTACCTCCAGTTTTAAATATGTACTAGAATTTAGACTTGTCCTGGAACCAACCTAAGTGTCCACCAGTTGTTGATTGGATAAAGAAAATGTGGTTTGTATACCCCATGAAATACTATGCAGCCACAAGAATGAACCAGATCATGTCCTTTGTAGCACCGTGGATGGAGCTGGAGACCGTTATCCTAGGTGAACTAACTCAGAAGCAGAAAATAGAAAACCTCATGTTCTTACTTGTAAGTAGGAACTAGACAATGGGTACACATGGCTGTAAAGATGGAGATAATAGACACTGGGGACCCCAAAAATGGGGAGGGGGCTGGGAGCAAGAAGAAGGGCTGAAGTGGGGAGAAGGGTTGAAGAATGACCTATTGCATATAATGTTCAATATCTGAATGATGAGTACACTAGAAGCCCAGGTTCCACTCTTACACATATAATACCCATATAACTCAAGTACACGTACTCTCTGAATCTAAAATTAAAAAAAAATTTTTTTTAAGAATTAGACTTGTGATTTCAAGTTATAAAGGGAAAAAATTGACCTTATTTTTGTGAATATTATTGGGATTTCAAGGAAAACTGATGCTTCACTATTTTAATAACATTTTCTGTCTTAGATTTATAAGAATTTATTATTTGAAGATATTTTGCTTGTTAAGGCTGTTTTGCTTTGGTTTTTATTATTGGCATTATTTGGCATTTATTTGGAATTTATTATCTGAAGATATTTTGCTCTGTTAGGCAACTGAAGTGCTTACAAAAGAAATGTAATATATTACATTTATAATGCAGTTCACAGTATTTAAGAGAATTTAATTAATTAAATTTACAAATGATTATTAAGGGAACTTAGTGTCTTCAAGTTAATAGCTCATTAATCAAAGAAAATTGAAGGTTGCTGTTTTTATTTTGCCCCATTTATAAACAGAATAACAAGATTTGTAGACCGAGCATAACAGCTAAGGATAACTAGGTTATTTCATTTTAATGGAACATTAATTTAAAACCGAAGCAACTGTAAGTAGTCCTTTCTGGACTGCCCTCAAACCTTAAAATAAAAAACAAAACAGTTCACAACGACAGATATTAATACGAATAGCTAATGTTTGTATAGTGTAATACTCTCATTTTATCTTCCATTACCGATGAGAAGCACTGGGAGGTTAGTAACTTGCTCAAGGCCTTGCGTCTAGGAAGTAGTGCAAGTTGGAGTGGAGCTTGGCTCTTTGACTCCGGAGGCTGCACTCTTAACCACAGTGTCAGAGGATGTTTGGGTCTTGGTTTCTAGGGTCTGCAACTGAGGTCCCTGGAGAAGGGCTAACACTTTCCTAACATACTCCAGTGAATGCTGTCTGGTCAGCACTCCCACTTGCTCAGCCACTTTGGTTCTCAACAGAAGATGTGGGCCGATCCTGGCTGCCTAGAGTTGAATCCCAAAGTACGGCCACAGGTGTGTGTCCTTACAAACACGGAAATTCTGATATCCACGTATGACCAGTTACAGATGTGAACTGTGAGAGCTATGCATTATTTTCTTCCTTGTGAAATACATTCACCATTTTCCCTCACTGTCTTTCTCCCAATCATTTACATTTTAAAAGTTGGTGGCATTTAGCATTACAGTATAGTTTTTAGGTAACAGCAGAAAGTTCCAGTGGGACTGGTGACTGAACTATATGAGGAATTAACGTAGCTCAGAGATGGAAGCAGTGGCCTTCGTGTCGAATTTTTCGTGGAGAGGATGAGTATGTCTTCATCTAGGCAAGTAGTGGCTGTGTCCTGCTAGGCAGAGCGTGGGTTGTAGTCAGCGTTGTCACATGGAAGTTTAAACATGGGTGACATGGGAACTATTTGGTGGAGTGCGCTGGGTCGTGTCTATTGTCTCTCACCGTCTCTGCCATCCTCTCTACTGCTGGGACTGGAAATCTGAAAACTATATTCCAACACTCCCTTGTCTTTCTGCCTGTTAGGTTCTGCTAACAGTGGGGAGGGGACATCTGGCAGCGCCTCTCCCAAGCAGCAACGGTAGCAGTGGTGGCAGCAACAGCAGCAGCAGCTGGTGAGTATGGGCCCCTTGGTAATACCATTTTCCCTTTTGCTTCTTGTAGGTAGAAATACGTAGGTAGTCTTATATTCTTACAGCAATTCTAACACCTCTGTCACTAATGCTTTGTGTTGAATCTCTCTATTTAAAATGTTTGCCATCGTTTCCACTCTGCTGATTGGATGCTGATTGATACAGATCTCATTCTCTGTTTGCTTGTTGTGCTCAGCTCTTTGATTTTAAGATAGGTCCATCTTGCACTGTAGACACCAGGTTGGTTGCTTCTGACTGCCACATAGTACCATGGAGCATGCGTCGGCCACATTGTACGTCCCCCTCTCCGGGATTGCTCATTCAGATTGCCGCCCAACATGCTGTGATAATTTTTTTTCTTTTTTGAGACAGTCTCGCTCTGACGCCCAGGCTGGAGTGCAATGGCACAATCTCAGTTCACTACAACCTCCGCCTCCCGGGTTCAAGCAATTCTCCTACCTCACCCTCCTGAGTAGCTGGAATTACAGGCGCGTGCCACCACACCTGGCTAATTTTTGTATTTTTAGTAGAGATGGGGTTTCACCATGTTGATCTAGCTGGTCTCGGACTTCTGATATTTTGATCCTCCCGCCCTAGCCTCCTAAAGTGCTGGGATTACAGGTGTGAGCCACCACGCCCGGCTGATAAATATTCTTAAACGTGGTCTTTTTAGAGCTGTGTGTGAATTCCCCAGGATAAAAGTATATACTCAGGAGTGAGATTGGCTTGATCACAGATCATAGCTATGTCATATGCTAAGTACTGTAAGATTACACTCCGAAGTAGCCATGCTCCCCACCCAGATAATACTACATGTATTATTCTATAACTGGATTTCTTTCACTTTATATATGACAAAAATGTAAACAGTTGCAACTGGGGAAATTTAAGAAAAAAATTAAGGTGCAAACTATAATCAACTGTGGAAACAACCAAAACTGGGTTTAGTGTAACAGCTTCTAGAGTCCGCCTGCACAGCCTGTCTACCACTCATTAGCTGTGTGACCTTGGGGTAATAGCCTAACCTCCCTGTGCCTGCCTCAGTTTTCTCATTGGTAAAATGGATATAATAATAGTACCTACTTTATTTTAGGATGTTATTAAATAATGTACATAAAGTGCTTAGACTACTCCCTGGCGCATAGCAAGAACCCAATGACTGTTGGCTATTATTGTTGAATATTTAGGTAATTTCCAGTTTTTTTGCTATTTCTCAACAGTGCTCCAATGACATTCAGGGTTTTTTTTTTTTTTTTCTTTTTTTTTAATTTAATGTGGTAAAAAACACATAACATTATATTTACCATGGAAATTCAGAATTCTTAAGTGACCACCTGAATACTCACACTAGAGCTCTGGCAGTGAACACCAGCCTGGGTCTAACAACTTTTTGGCTTGGGAGACTTGGATCTCTTTAGAAGTAACAGGATCTCTTCAGACTGCCTGTTCCAATTGCTGCATGGTCAAGGCCTGTGGCTGGAAGTCCCCTTCCAATGGTTTCCCGATTTCTGCATAGCCAATCCCCTGACCAGGGCCAGCTTGAGCTTCTGAGCTTCTGAGGTGGGTGAGTCTCCATAGTCCTAATCTCAGGTCAGGTAGGGAATGTCTGTGTGCAGTTGCATGACATGAAGGGGCAGCATTGATTCAAATCCCTGCTCCGTGGCTTAGCATCTGTGTGATCTTGGGGAAGTGATGCCACCTCTCTGAGCCTCTGTTGCCTCATCTGTAAAATGGGAATGATACCTGTTTCACTGTGTTGATGGATTTGAGAATTGCAATGTGTCTTAGTCTGTTCAGATTGCTATAACAAAATACCATAGATTAGGTGGCTTATAAACAGCAAATATTTGTTTCTCACAGTTTTGGAGGCTGTGAAGTTCAAGATCAAGGCACTGCAGTTTCAGTGTCTGGCGAGGGCCTCCTTGACTGGTTCAGAGACAATATCTTCTTGCTGTGTTCTCCTCTGGTAGAAGGAACAAGCTAGCTCTCTGGGGCATCTTTTAAAAGGGCATGAACCCCAATCAGCAGAGTTCCACTGTTATGACCTAATCACCTCCCAGAGGGAGTTATTTGCATGCCTGTAACTGAAGAGCAGTCCTCCTCTATCAGGGAAAGTTGTCCTCTTCGACCAAGCACACAGCTTCAAGAGGAACGCATGTGAAGTGGTGAGGGAGGAAGGGGACACCCACTTAGCCAGCCTCACATCCTACCATACTTTTGATTTCTATCGTTTCCTTTTGATTCTTTCCTAGATTTCTGATTTCTCATCTCTCTGCTTATATTACCCATCTGTTCTTGTATGTTGTTTACTTTTTCCATTAGAACTTGTAATTAATTTTATGTGTCAATTTTGAGGTTCTAAGATGCTTGTTGAAAGTGAAGATATTTAAAGTGTTGAAAGAAACAAACAACCATTACATGCTGTAGCTAATGAAATTATTCTTCAAAAGTGAAGGAGAAATAAGATTTGCTCCCAAAGGGTATTTGTAGCTGTTAGACCTACCTTCCAAGAAATGTTAAAATAAAATTTTCAGAGAAAAGGAAAATGAAATAGGGCCAGAAATTTGGATCTAAAGAAATGGAGAATGTCAGAAAAGGAGTAAGTTTAGATTGGCTGACTGTAGATTAAAAAAAAAAAAAAAAAAGGAATAAATGAGGTAAAATAAAATCTTTAATTGTCTTATTTTTAATTACTTTGATAGATTATTACTTTGTTCAAAGTAATAATAGCAACAATGTGTTGGGTGATTATAGAATATGGATAAGTGAAATGAATGTTAATTGTGTTGTAAGTATAGGAGGGAGGAATTGGGAACAGTCTTCTTATAAATGGACTTACATTAGTTGTAAAAGTATATGGAAAACTCTAGGGCAACTTTTAAAAAATTTAAAGAAGACATAATTGATATGCTACAAGAAAGAAAACAGAATCATATAAAATGCTTAATTAAAACCAGACAAGGCAGAAAAAGAGAGAAAATTTTTTAAAGGAAGTAAGAACAAGTGCAACAAACAAAAAACAGCTGCAAAGATGTTAGAATGTCAACCTAACTATATCAACAATCACTAAATGCGAATGGTCTAAATACACGAATTAAAAGAGACTGTCAGAGTGGATAAAACAAAGCAAGACCCCAACTATATGTTCAGAGCAATCTTCTGTAAATGTAAAGACCCAGATAGATTCAAAGTAAAGGAATGGAGAAAGATAAACTATGCTGTCACTAGTCAAAAGAGACCTAGAGCCGCTATGTTGATTTCAGGCAAAGCAGATTCAGAACAAGGAAAGCCGTCAGGGATAAAGAATACATAACGACTATCATTATGTATTCTTCTACCTCATTAGTGACAGCGTAGTTTATCTTTCTCCATTCCTTTACTTTGAATCTATCTGGGTCTTTATATTTAAAGAAGATTGCTCTTAACATGTAGTTGGGGTCTTGCTTTTATCCACTCTGACAGTCTCTTTTAATTCGTGGGAACATCACACACCGGGGCCTATTAGGGGGTAGGGGGAGTGGGGAGGGATAGTATTAGGAGATATACCTAATGTAAATGACAAGTTAATGGGTGCAGCACACCAACATGGCATATGTATACATATGTAACAAACCTGCACGTTGTGCACATGTACCCTAGAACTTAAAGTATAATATTAATAATAATAATAATAATAATAATAAAATACATAACAATAAAGACATCAATTCTCTAAGAAAACATAGCAATCTTTAATGTGTAGGCACCTCAAACTATCTGAGGCAAAAACTGATAGAACCGCAAGGAGAAACAGACAAATCCACTATTATATTTGGAGAGGCCAACACCCCTCTATCAGTAATTGACAGCCCCAGAAGGTGGAAAATCAGTAATTACATAGTTTACCTGAACAGCCGCATCAATCGTCTGGATTAAATTGACATTTACAGAATACTTCATCTAACAACAGCAAGAATATACAGTCTACACAAGCTCATGTGAAACATTCAGCAAGTGTTTGATATTGAATGTTTATGTCCCTCCAAAATTCATAGGTTGAAGCCCTCACCCCCATGTGACTGTATTTGGAGATGGGGTCTTGAAGGATGTAATTAAAGTTAAATGAGGTCTTAAGTGGGGAGACCCCATCCAATAGGATTGATGTGTTTTTTTTTTCTTTTGAGACAGGATCTCACTCTGTCGCCCAGGCTGGAGTGCAGTGGTGAGATCTCAGCTCACTGCAACCTCAGCATCCACAGCTCAAGTGATTCTTCTACCTCAGCCTCCCGAGAAGCTGGGACTACAGGTGTGCACCACCACACCCAGTTAATTTTTGTATTTTTTATACAGACAGGGTTTCACCATGCTGTCCAGGCTGATCCTGAACACCTGGGATCAGATGATCCACCTGTCTAGGCTTCCCAAAGTGCTGGGATTATAGGTGTGAGCCATGGCTCTCCACTGGATTATAAGAGGAGACACCGGAGTGCTTGCATTCTCCTGTGCTTCTCTCTGTCCCTTCCTCCCTCCCTCTCCACATTGGTCGTGTGACCACAAAGCAAGAAAGTGGCTGTCTGCAACCCAAGGGAAGAGCCCTCACCAGACACCAACCTGGCTGGCACCTTGATCTTGGAATTCCAATCTCCAGAACTGTGAGAAAATACATTTTTGTTGTTTAAGCTACCTGGTGTATGGTATTTTGTTTTAGCATCCTGAGCAGATGAAGACATCAAGAGAGAACACTTCGGGGCAATAAAACACACTTTAACAAATGTAAAGGAATAGAAATCATACAAAGTATGGTGTCAAATCACAATAGAATTGAAAAGGTCGCATACACGTGAGTGTCCTGGAGTTTAAGCTCCACTGGCTTCAGGCAAATCTGCTTCTGCTGGTGATTTCCTTCCAGGCAGGGTGGGTCAGTCTCTCTGTGCACAGCTGTCCATTGCAAACTTCTCTCCCTCTCTTTATGGCTGGGCTCCAGGACATGTGAAGAAGGAAGTTCTGAGGTTATAGGGACGCAGCCTCCAGGGCACAGCCAGCTAGCCTCGGTAACCATTTGGAGGCCTAGTGTATTAGTCAGGGTTCTCTTAGAGGGACAGAACTAATTTTTTAATATATATATATGAGTGTGTTAAGTATTAACTCACAGGATCACAAGATCCCACAATAGCCTGTCTGCAAGCTGAGGAGGAAGGAGAGCCAGTTCGAGTCCCAAAACTGAAGAACTTGGAGTCTGATGTTCAAGGGCAGGAAGCATCCAGTACGAGAGGAAGATGTAGGCTGGGAGGCTAGGCCCGGCTCACCTTTCCACATTTTTCTGTATGCTTTATATTCTCTGGCAGCTGATTAGATTGTGGCCACCAGATTAAGGGTGGGTCTGCCTTTCCCAGCCCACTGACTCAAATGTTAATCCCCTTTGGCAACACCCTCACAGACACACCCAGGATCAATACTTTGTATCTCTCAATCCAATCAAGTTGACGCTCAGTATTAACCCTCACACCTGGTAACAGGAGATTTCTGTAGCCAGGAAAGTGAGGAAGTGGGAAGGTATCTCACTGGATGGTCCCGAAGAGCCATCAGAGTCTTCCCTCTGGCCTTGCAGGGGCCTGTGCAGGTGGCTGCATGGAGCCTTTCTTTGGGTCAAGGAGATGATGTCCCCTTCACTGACTTTTGCACTTCCTTGAGTCTGCAGGGGAGTGTCCGTCCAGCCTCAGAGTGAGCAGCAGCAGCTGACCAGATTGGAAGACATTTCCAATGTCTTCCCTGGCAGCTGTGATGTGTTGTGCGGTAGCAGCTGAGGATTGCTGGTGTGTAATCTTTGAGGTTCCAAGATGCTTTTTGGAAGTGGAGCCTGGTCAAGCAGCAGAAAGGACAGCTGGATCCATGCTGGGTGGGGTGGGGTGGGGTGCATGTCAGGGAAGTTGGCTTCAGCTGGAACTGGGGGTTGGCTTCAGCAAAGGAGGTTGAACATCACTGATTCCTGACCTGCAGCACCCAAATGGTCACAAAGAGACGTCATGGGTTTGAGGAGGCCACAGAGCCAACAGCGTTAGTGTCTTCAGAAGGATGAAGAAAACTTGAACAACATTTTAAAATAGCTTTATTGAGATATAATTCACATCCCAGAGAATGCATCCATCTAAAGGGTACAATTCAATGGATTTTTGTATATTCACAGAGCTGTGCATTCATCACTGCAATTAATTATAGAACTTCTTCATTTATTCAAAATACCCCAGCACCCCTTAGCTATCACCCTAATTCCTCTATCTCCCCCAGCCCTAGGCAACCATTAATCTCCTTTTTGTATCCATAGATTTGCCTATCCTAGACATTTCATATAAACTGAATCATGCAATATAGGACGCTTCTTTCACTTTGTGTAATGCTGTCAAGGTACATACAGGTTATATCAGTTTCTCATTCTTTTTATGACCAAATCACATTCCATTGTATGGATATACTACATTTTATTTATCTGTTCATCAGTTGGTGGACATTTGGGTTGGTTTCCATGTTTTTGGCTGTCAGAAATAATGTCGCCATGAACATTCATGTACAAGCTTTTGTGGGGACATGTGTTTTCATTTCTCTTGGGCATATGCCTAGGAGTGGAATTGAGTCACATGGTAACTTTATAACCATTTGAGGAACGTCCAGACTGTTTTTCAAAGTGGCTACAACATTGTACCTCCCCACCAGCAATGTACAAGGGTTCCAGTTTCTCCACATTTTTTTCAACTTTTTTTATCATTTGACTTTGTTTTTTTTTTTTTTTTTTTGAGACAGAGTCTCACTCTGTTGCCAGGCTGGAGTGCAGTGGCATGATCTCAGCTCACTGCAACCTCCGCCTCCAAGGTTCAAGCGATTCTCCTGCCTCAGCCTCCCAAGTAGCTGGGACTCCAGGTACTTGCCACCATGCCCAGCTAATGTTTGTATTTTTAGCAGAGATGGGGTTTCACCATGTTCATCAAGATGGTCTTGATCTCTTGACCTTGTGATCCACCCGCCTCAGCCTCCCAAAGTGCTGGGATTACAGGCATGAGCCACCACGCCTGGCCTCATCTGACTTTTTAATTAAAGCTATCTTAGTGGACATGAAGTGATATCTCATTATGGTTTTGATTTGCATTTCTCCCATGGCTAATAATATTCAGGACCTCTCTATGTGCTTATTGGCTATTTGCATATCTTTTTTAAAGAAATATCTATTCAGATCCGTTGCTCATTTTTGAATTGGGCTATTTGTCTTTTTATTCTAGAGTTGTAATTGTTCTTTATATATTCTAGATACAAGCAACTTATTATGTTTATAATTTGCAAACAATTTTTTCCCATTCTTTGGGTTATCTTTTCACTGTTTTGATAGTGTCTTTTGAAGCCCCAAAGTTTTTAATTCTGATGGTCAGTTTATCCGTTTTTTCTTTAGTTGATCTTGCTTTTGGTGTCAATCTAAGAATGCAGTGCCAAATCCGGGGTCATAAGGATTTATCACTATGTTTTTTTCTGTGAGTTATAGTTTTAGCTCTTATTTATAGGTCATTGATCCATTTTGAATTAGTTTTTTTATACAGTGTGAAACATGGATCCAACTTCATTCTTTTGCATGTGGAAATTCAATTGTCCCCACATCATTTGCTGAGGGGACTATTCTTTTTCCATTGAAAGAGGTTGGCACTCTTGCTAAAAATCAACTGGCCGTAGATATATGGGTTAATTTCTGGGCTCTCAGTTCCATTCTGTTGATGTATAGATCTGTCCTTATGCCCATACCACACTGTTTTGATTACTTTCATTTTGTAGCAGGTTTTAAAATTGGGAAGCATGAATTATCCAACTTTTTCAAGACTGCTTTGGCTATTTGTGTTTTCTTGAATTTTCATATGCATTTTAAAAGCAACTTGTCCATTACTGTAGTCAGAATTTTGATAGGGATTGTATTGAATTTGGAATCTGGGAGCATTGCTATCTTAATAATGTTAAGTTTTTCAATCTATAAACATGGAATATCTTTCCACTCATTTAGATCTTCTTTAGTTTTCAACAGTATTTTGTAGTTTTCAGAGCATAAGTTTTGTACATCTTTTGTTAAGTATATTCATAAGTATCTTTCTGATGCTAATATAAATGGAATTTTTTTTTTTAAGACAAAGTTTTGCTCTGTCACCAAGGCTGGAGTGCAGCGGTGTGATCTCAGCTCACTGCAACCTCTGACTCTCTGGTTCAAGTGATTCTCCTGCCTCAGCCTCCCAAGTAGCTGGGATTACAGGTGCCAACCACCACACCCGGCTAATTTTTTGTATTTTTAGTAGAGACAAGGTTTCACCATGTTGGCCAGGCTGGTCTCGAACTCCTGACCTCAAGTGATCCACCTGCCTCAGCCTCCCAAAGTACTGGGATTATAGGCGTGAGCCACTGTACCCAGACTGGAATTGTTTTCTTAACTTCATTTTTGATTTGCTCATAGCTATTGTATAGAAATACAACTGAGTTTTGTACACTGACCACATATCCTTGTAAACTTGCTAAACTCATTTATTAATTTAATCCTTTTTAGTGAATTCCTTAGGATTTTCAACGTACAAGATCATGTTATCTGCAAATGATGACAATTGTACTTCTTCCTTTCCAATATGGATGACTTTTACTTCATTTCCTTGCCTCATTGTCCTGGCTGGCCTCTTTAGTACAATGTTGAACAAACAGAAGCTGTGTGAACAGACATCCTTGTCTTGTTCCTGATCTTCTGGGGAAAGCATTTTGTGTTTCAGCTTTGAGTGAAAACCCATTAGCCGTGGCCTTTTCTAGATGTCCTTTATCAGGTTGAGGAGACTGAGTTCTTCAGAGGAGGAGCTGTGTCAGCTCTGAGGTGACACATAGCATTGTCAGCTTTCGGAGTCTGAGGTCCTGGCTGACCGGCAGGAGATGATGTCCTGAAGGATGTGGACATGATGTGCTGGGACTCTGGGGACTTGAGGGGAGACCCTGCTGCAGACCTGGGTATGGGAATAAAAAGGCAATATCAAAGGCAGTAATTGGACCCATGGGAGTGGACCATCTCGGGAAGAGAAAAAAGCATCAGGGGCAGAGATGTGGGAGAGGGGAGGGGAGCCCGAGAAGTGGTCAGAGAAGGAGGAGAAAATCCAGATTGTGTAGGGAGGAGAGAAGTGCCCCAGCAGCTGAAGACGGTGCCAGAGCCTAAGAGCCTACTGGCTGGGGAAACCTTGCAGAAGAATGGGCCAGACCCGCTGAGGGCCACCTGGTAGCCCAGCGCTGAGAGCTGTGCACGCGGCCTCACGACACCAGGTGGCGCGGTGGACCATTCTAGCAGCCACTCCTCTTAGCCCTGGTGGTTTCTTTTCATTAACGACAAATGAATGAGCTGGGGTCTCACCAAACCCCTGTTCAACCGATTGGAACCTCTGAGAGGGGCTGTGACCTTCCTGAAAGCATTACAGGGGCATTGTAGCAAAGCTGGGGCTGCCTTCTCACCTCCTGGCTCCTATCCCAGGATCTCTCTCCAGTCACCCCCTACCCACCCCAAAGGGATCTAGAAAAGTGGCTGGCAGAATACCCGGTCAGAAGGCAGCCTGGAAGGACGTGAGGTCCACCAAACCCGTCTAGGTCCCCAGCATCACCCGCTTTTCAGTGTTGCTTGCGATGAGATCACCTTCTGTGACTTTCCCATCAGTTCTCTGCTCCTGGTTCCCCACTCCCCATTCTCTTTCTACCCATAGCCAAATGATTTTCAGTTTACGCCAAATTGAGTCACTCCCCATGCCCCCTGCCCCTGTAACATCCCTCAGGGGCTCCAAATTGCTCCTTACCCCCATATTCATCTCCCTCATCGCAGTCACACCCTGAGCCTACACTCACTTTGTGATTTGGTTGTTAAAGCAGGACATGCTTCTCGAAAGCTGCTGGTTTTGCCTGGAACGCTCCTCCCGCCCTCCTCCCGGCCCCTAATTAGCATTTTGGTCTCAGTTTAGACTCACTTGGCTTCCCTGGTGCGCTTCCGCGGTGCACCTCCCCTTTGCTTTGACACCTGCTTTGTGATGTTGACTTGTTTAGCATATTTTCCCTCTAGACTGAAGCTCCAGAACAGCAGGCAGGGTCCATGTTAGGCGCAGCCTGTCATCAGCGTCCAGCCATGGCTCTCTACAGGCCATGGGAACTAAAAGTGGTGGTGCTGGCAGGGCAGGATAGGAGCTGGCGCCAGGAGCCACAGGACAGTATCTCGAGGACAGCCCTGCTGGGTACTAAGATACAGCCCAGAGTGTCTGGAATGATGGGCAGAGCATCAGCTGGTTTCGGAGTTTGAACAAATGGTGTTCAGAACAGCATGGTCTGCCAGAACAGTCAGCCAGAGTGCCAGGACTGAGGGTCCTACAGAAGGACCCCCTCTGTCACTGTCACTTCCATATTCCAGAACCGGGCGTGTGGGAAAATAAAGCAATCGTTGAACCCGATTTCAGTCCCAAGTTTTGGAAAACGTGTGGGTGCATCTGTAGTAGCTAGGTGTCAGCAGGGCCTTTGTTCCAACCCAGTCAGAACACAACCAGAATTGAGGCCAGTAGATCCTTGAGCCAGACAATGACAACATGGAGGCACCCATAAAGCCGAGGGGTGACAAGCACCCAGCCATGCCATTCCTGTGGATACGAGGGTTGTTGGCCCATAGGACAAACTCTTCAAAACATTTTCCTCTCCCTTCCCTCTCGCAGCAAGTTGCATCAGTGGGTGGTAATAGAGGTCCTGAATTTCCCTAGTGCGTGGGCGGGACAGCTGAGGGCCTCCATGAATGCAAGTCTGTTACACAAAGGAAGTCACCTATCTCTTTATGTACATAGAAACTTCCAGAAGCCTAAAGAAATAAAAACATGATCTAAATGAGCTTTTCTCCTTTCTATTTCATATTTCAATGTTACAAATATTTAAAATCTTTTTTGGGGGGAGTATTCAAACTTGGACAATAAAAATTAGGCAGTCCAGGGGCTGGGCGTAGTGGCTCACACCTGTAATCCCAGCACTTTGGGAGGCCAAGGTGAGTGGATCACTTGATGTCAGGAGTTCAAGACCAGCCTGGCCAATATGGTGAAAACCCGTCTCTACTAAAAAAAATATAAAAATTAGCCGGGCATGGTGGTGGGCAGCTGTATTCCCAGCTACTCGGAAGGCTGAGGCAGGAGAATCACTTGAACCTGGGAGGCGGAGGTTGCAGTGAGCCGAGATCGTGCTACTGCACTCCAGCCTGAGCAACAGAGCCAGATCCCATCTCAAAAATAAATTAAAATAAATAAATACATAAAAATTAGGCAGTCCTTTGTTTCTGCAGGAAGCTTTGACTCTGACAAACAGGAACAGGACTGTGGTCTTCGAATCTGGCTCTTTGCCCCCAGCCAGAATCTTCTCAAAATTGTTATCCCAAACTTGTCCACTTCCTGAAGACAGAGGATTCTTTCTAGTTGAGGGGAAATTAAACCAATGTACAATGCAGGAAGTGGTCTAGTTGAGGGGAAGTTAAACCAATGTACAATGCAGGAAGTGGGCAAGTTTGGGATAATGATTCTCTGCTAAATGGGTTGAAATTTAACATTGGAAATTAGTCCAATCTAGTCATTCAGATAATGAAAGTTAAACTATATTCATCTCTATTTTTAGTAGAGATGGGTTTTCACCATGTTGGCCAGGCTGGTCTTGAACTCCTGGCAGGAAGTGAGCGAGGGAGGTCATTCAGATAATGAAAGTTAAACTATATTCATCTCTATTTTTAGTAGAGATGGGTTTTCACCATGTTGGCCAGGCTGGTCTTGAACTCCTGGCAGGAAGTGAGCGAGGGAGAGGGGTGGGCAGAGAGACGGGAGAGGGAAAGAAAATCAGGACTGGCTGTCTATGGAGGGGGACTGAGGAAAATTCTGGAGACACTTTGACGTAGTTTCAGGCTGAGATAGATGTCATCAGGAGAGCCCCTTCTGAAAGTGACTCCAAACGTCTTGGGATAAAGGTGCTAAAAACATAAACTAGGTTACTAGGAATAAGTACATAAAGCAGTGCATGTGGTGGTCATATTGTCCAAAGACAACCTCAGAATATTTGACTTGCTGACTGGGCAGTGTAGGAACCGAGGGTGCACACCCCAGCGTGCGTGAACCCAAAAGGAGCTGCTCCTCTGTGAAGCAGGAGGTTAAACGAGGTGGTTTTTCCATGCCTTGTCAGTCTTCTGTGGGACTAATAGTGGCCATGTTGGGAGAGCTGAAGAGTTTAGCAAGAAGACAGGAGGCCTGTCCCTCTGACCTCTCCTTAGCTGCCCCCCTGGCATCACAGTGCACACTATGTTCTTAAATTTAGGCCAAGTTTTGCTGACAAAAGTGATATAGGTGAGCCATCGGCAAAAGATGGAGAAGGGAAGGCCATTGACATGATATTCCACTCAACCTTTTGTTCAAGGACAAGATGCTTGGTTTAGGCTGGAATCTACAGTTTCATTTGTTTGGAGTCGGTATGTGCTATGGTCTGAATGTTTGTGACCCCCAAATTCATATATTGAAATCTAACCCCCAATATGATGGTGTTTTGAGGTGGTACCTTTGGGAGGTGATTAGGTCATGATGGTAGAGCCTCATGAGTGAGATTAACACCCTCACAAAAGAGGTCCCAGGGAGCTCCTATGCCCCTTCCACCACGAGAGGATGCAGCAGAAAGACAGCCATCTATGAACCAGGAAGTGGCACCTCACCAGACACTGCACCTTGGTCTTGAACTTCCCAGCCTCCAGAACAGACAGAAATGCATTTCTGTTGTTTATATACCACCCATTCTATGGTATTGTGTTGTAGCAACCCGAACACATGAAGACAGTGTGTGTGTGAAGGTTTTGAAGGTCACCCTCTTTTCATCCTATCACAATGGAAACTCACGCAGCTCTAGAATAAAACCCCACAGTCAAAAGGTCTTTTGCCCACCATTATTTTAAAGACAGGGTTGTACAATTCAAAATGATCAGATCTGTAGTAATTACCATCTTTTAAAAATAATGTTTATTGAGCATATAATGGATGGCCAAAAATTTTTAAAAGCAAATATTCAATACAATAGGGTTATATTATCTTGGTTTCCAAATTCCATGTAATAAATTCATGACAACTGCCTTGAACACAAAACACAGAGCCTCTGACTCAGGAACTTCCCTATTAGAGTTTGAAACTCCAGCCCACACTTTGATATACCTTTGGCAGGTCTCTGAAAAGGTAGGGTGCACACATATTTTGTAAACTTCAGCAGTAAGCTGGTTTTCCAAAATGTATGGATATGTACACAGACATGAAATGGGCCTATCTGGCTTTTGACACATTTAAAATATCATTTAAATCACAAGGACAATTACATATATATAAAAAAGCAACTGTTCTTTTATTGCTTCAGTTACCTATATTCCATTCCTCTTAGCACAAGACTCCCTTACCCCAGATTCTAGACCCAAGAGCTCTTCATTGCATTCAATCTTAGACCATCAACTACCCATCTTTATGTTCCACTAAAGATATGAAATCAAATAAAATCAAAACATATTTATTTAATGCCTATGACAGACAAGGCCTTGTTATAGGTTCTTGAGATGGAATAATAAAACTCTTTAACTGAAGAGTTTATAACTTAGTTACAGATGTACACTTGAATTACTCATTGCTTTAGGGCTGATGGTCAATTTCTTCCTACTTCAAATGAACCAGCCTGATGGGACATCTTGATATACTATGCGTAACAGTCGATGTGAAACTACCTTTTCATTTGACTACTGTTCTTGTTAATTTTTGAGACAGAGTCTCACTGTGTCGCCCAGGCTGGAGAGCAGTGGCGGGATCTCCCCTCACTGCAACCTCTGCCTCCCAGGTTCAAGTGATTCTCAAGCCTCAGCTTCCCGAGTAGCTGGGATTACAGGTGTGCACTGCCACGCCCAGCCAGTTTTTTTTGGAGATGGAGCCTCACTCTGTCGCCTAGGCTGGAGTGCAGTGGCGCAATCTTGGCTCCCTGCAACCTCCGCCTCCCAAGTTCAAGTGATTCTCCTGCCTCAACGTCTCAAATAGCTGGGACTGCAGGTGCCCGTCATCATGCCCGGCTACTTTTTGTGTTTTTAGTAGAGATGGGGTTTTACCATGTTGGCCAGGCTGGTCTCAAACTCCTGACCTCATAATCCATCCACCTTGGCCTCCCAAAATGCTGGGATTACAGGCGTGAGCCACCGTGCCTGGCCTAATTTTGTATTTTTAGTAGAATTGGGGTTTCACCATGTTGGCCAGGCTGGCTTGAACTCCTGGCCTCAAGCAATCCGCCTGCCTCTGCCTCTTAAGGTGCTGGGATTATAGGCATGAGCCACCGTGCCTGGCCTTGACTACTGTTCTTAATCAGCCTTAACTGAGCCTCAGTGCGTACTACCCCTGTCTTTAGTCACTGGTTGAGGTCATACCACTGTTTGGTAATTTAAGGTGGTATTTCATATGAGGGACCTAATATTTTAAATGAACTCATTGTCATAAATGTCAGTCTTTTATTGGAACTGATTTTCTTCAATAAGTCAAACATAAAACAGGTAACAGAGGATGGAATGAAAGCATATTGCTTTGTTAGGACTTCCAAATTCTTAGTGCACAGCTACCATGAGGTATCTACTGAAAAGTTGTTTTCTGAAAATACATTTTGTAACTTTTCCAGCTACACAAAGGCTATAACGGCAGCATTTGCACAGTCTTGGATGGCAGCCTGACACCAGTGCAAAGCTTGATATCTCGCTCCTTTCCCTGAGATAGAAGAAAATCTATAAACTTCTCTTCCTTCTTGCATGCTTTATTGACACAACTCACTGGAAAAATCCAATTTTA